GAAATATGTTAATTGTTGCAATAGAAATGCAAATAGCGGTTCAAACTTTGTGCGATCGAAATTGCCCTACAAGAGCAATTGAAATCGAACAGCTGAAGTGTAAGATAAACTACTAATTATTAAGGATGATAATATAAAATCAGTAAAAGCCATACAAATAAACTTAGCTCATTGCCAAGCAGCAACAGCTCAGCTAAAGCAAAAAGCAAATTTTTATGACATAGCATTAATTCAAGAATCCCATTGCTTAAACTCAAAACCTGTGGTTTCCAAATAAATGGTAAACTGATATATGACCACTCTGAATAGCCTTGTTCACTAATTCTAGTGAAAAAAAAATTATCTTTTATTATGACTTTTGTCTCAAGAGATGTTGTATCTATATTCATGGAACTATCAGAAAAGGAAATACATATAATAAACAGCTATTGTCTGCCATCCGGTGATCTAACAGAACATCTATGAAGTATTGAAGACCTTATCAAAAGGTATGATTATGATATTGTCATAGTGAGAAACTTCAATTCATAGGGTATAATTTGGAGCTCCCCATTCAAAGATCTTAGAGGAGCAGAACTGAGGTAATTCTCAAGTATACACAAATTTCTTATTGAAAATGATCTAGATAGTCTAGCAGCATGCTCATGTAGTAGAGGAAGAAGTTGGACAAATACAACCATGACAAAACATGGACATGATATTCCTCTTTTTCTAACTGGATGGTTCTGTATGAAATATCTGGAAGTAATCATTAATCATCTAACATTTGAAGATTCAAATATTAGAAGCAATAGTTGCAAGTGGCCTTGAAAACCCTCAACAAATTTAATACTGAATCTACCTTAGTAAATGGAATCAGAAATATCCTGGACAAGATTAAAGTAACACTTCATTGGGTTAAAGGCCATGTAGGTCATATCGGAAACGAAACTGCAGACACATTGGCAAAAGCAGGAATTAGTAATGGAGTACCATTGAATATAAAACTGTCAAAAGTTAAATTAACATTAAAAGAATGGCAATGCAGATGGGATTAACTGGAAACTAGTAGGCTGATTGATAAAGTGCTTCCTAAAGTTAAAACCACGAGACTATGCTTGGATTTCTTCTTGATTCAAGTTTTCATAAGACACGAGGCTTTCTTATCCTATCTAAATATGTATAAATTGATGAGTGCTAAATGTGTTTGTGAATTAAGAACAGCAGATGCATTACATATCTTAATTGAATGTCAAGAATTATCTCAAATCAGAAAATGTTACCTAACAAAATATGTCTCCTTCAAATTTCAAAGATTATTACAAAATGAAAAAGGCCAGAAAATTATCTCTAGATTATGTTAAATATCTCTATGACAATGAAACTGCATTGTATACTTCATAGCTATTATACAGAGGCTGTTCGCACATTTTTTAGACGATTTTTGGTAAGCGGTAATAAAAAATCATTTGTTGCGAAAGAAGTAATTGATATTGTACTATGTTTTTAAAAGTCAAAATTATCGTCTGTGGCTTGAAAGTTTTGTTTTTATTCAAAATGGCGAATTTAACAAAGCAGTAGTTCGAAGGCTACATTTACGCTCTTTCCGAAGAGAAATATGCATACTCCATTATCCAAAAACAATGTGAGAGTCATGGTTTTGTGATATCTAAAGCATCGATAGGTCATATCATCAACAAGAGAGGAAACAAACATCAAATCGGAGCCTCAAGGGGACAAAAATTCCAAACAAGTATCCAAGGAAAAAACGGACAACTTCGACTATTGCAAAGGTACGTTGTTTAATGTTAAAAGAAAATCCCCCTAGTCAAAGGACAGTTGCAAAATCATTAAAATGATTGGTGTCCACTGTAAACAAAATGATAAACGTTGATTTAAATCTTAAGAAAGCGAAAACACGCAATGTGCATCGTCCTTCTTCCAAAGCATATCGCTCAACGCCAGGACACGCTGCAGAATTCTTATATGAGAAACCCTTATCCAAAGAAAAATGGAAAACAATTGTCACAATAGGATGAAGCATGGGTATATTTAAATGATTGTAACAAAAAAAGAGCCATTTATTATCATAAAAGGGGAGAAAAAAAATTAAGTACATGGTTCAAAGAAATCGAAAGAAAGTTTTTTCTAAGGGATTCGTGATTGTTGCTTGGTTTTTCCTTATAATGGCAAGTTAAAAATAAAGAGAGTGCAAAAAAATGTCAAGATTAACTTCAAATACTATCAGGAACATATTTTATCGCCAATTTTTCTGAATGAAATGCCATCGCTTTACCCTCAGTGCCATCAATCTGTGAGACTCCATCAGGACAAAGCTAGCAGTCACACATCAAAATCCATAAATTTCCTAAAAGAAATTGAACAAAAGAACTGGTATCAAGGCCATACCCTTCACTGATATCCCTACTAAATCACCCGATGTGTCACCTATGGATTTTTGTGCTTTCGGACTTTTAAAAACTGCATTATCCAAACGTTGTCCCAAAACCCTAACAGGACTCTGGAAAGTTGTTCGGGAGGAATGGGATAGAATACCTCTTCTGCCACTTCAAAAGGCATTATTATCCTGGAAATTACGGTTTCGAAAGATAGTTCAGAGTAAGTGATGTCAAATAGAACATTTAAAACACAAGAATTTTATGTAATTTAGTTTTATGAATACAATATACATCGTCTAAAAAATGTGTGAACAGCCTCTGTACTAGGTTTGCATATTATATCTCTAACAATTGTTATCATATCTTGAGTTGTTGTTGTATTTTTCAATATCATCTGTTAAATAATATATTTATCATTTCATTTTTGTATTTCTCATTGTAATTATGTCTTCATCATAATTCACTTAATATTGTTAACTAAATTTTTCTTCTAATATAATATAATTATTCTATGTATGGAAATGTTGTAAATAATTATAACTCTAGCTTGTATTTTGGTATAATAAAGAGTTTGATGAGGTCAGCAAATTTTATTAATGTTTAATTTGGCAAATCTGTAAAAATAAAAATTTAGTGGAATTCAAAATTTCTTACCTTTTATCCTTCAAGATGATACCTATTTGAAGAGGTAAAGACTTTTCCTCCACTTCTTGTTGTTTAAATATTGAGGGCCATGACAATAACAAAGTATTGTATACACATATATGTATATATATCATCTGGCTGTGGCAAAAGTTTTCTGCCAAAACACGTTCTTAATAAAGTTAGGGGAAAAAAACCATAAACAGTGCCTTTAGTACACATAGTAATCACCACCAAAATGTATGGTTTTCTGCCAGCATTTTGGTAGTTTTTTAAAGCAGGCCGCGAGTGTAAAAACAGATTAACATCATTTTGGACGTCCTGTCCAGAATGGAAGATAGCATCAGTAAGCTGTAGCTATAGGTGAGAAAAAAGGTAGAGGTTCAAAGTAGCATGCTGGGGCTATATGATGGGCATGACAAAAGATCCCATTTGAGTCCGTACAGAGCCCAGCTGGTGAATGCAGACACGTGGTCTTGCATTATCTTGATGGAACATTACCTTTTCATGTTGGAACTCAGTACAACCATTTTTCCTTGATAGCAGCGTCAACACGGATTAGCATCACACTGTACACCGTACTGTCAAGGGTTTTACCTTTTCCCAGATGCTGTTTGGGAATAATACCACGGCAATTCCACCAGATACAGAGCATGATCTTTTTGTCAGTCATATTGCACTTTGCGATGCTGCCGACGAGCTCACCGACCGCAGACCAACCCTCTTTTTGGCCTGTGTTGTTGAAACAAATCCACTTTTCTTGACAAGTAATGATCCAGTCCATAATTTTACCCTTGCATTTATATTTGAGCAGATTAGTGCAGGCCTGAACACATCTGTCCATATCTGCTCGAGTCGTTTCATGTGGTACCCAGTGATTGAGTTTGTTCATCAGGTTTATGCAGTGCATTGCACAAATAACAGACATAGCAGTAATGTCTAACTCCTTAACAAGTTCTCAAGCAGTTGCATGCTGATCTTTTTCCATTAATTTCTTGCAGGCAGGCCACAAGAACATCAGTACGCTGGCCAGAGCACTCTGCTTCTTGAATGTCATAGTCCTTGTTTTTGAACTTTCGGTACCAAACCATCACAGTGTCATATGATACAACATTAGTACCTAAAGCTATACATATAATTTGGTGAATTCTGTAGCTGACTTTTTGCAACAGAACTGGATATAAATGATGGTTCTAATCTGGAGTCATGGTAGTTCCATTTCAGACACCTTGTACTTAATGATAATGATATTTTATAGAAAAATCACAACACAGGGTTCTAAAGTAAGTCTGTTTCTTTCAAATGCCAAACATTGTTTTACAAAACACCATTAAACACACCTCCGTGGACTGTTTGCACAGACGATATTTGCAATGGCAAAAAATTTTCGTTTAAATCCGATATAAGTATGCGAAGGACTAGATTGTATGTATTATTTTTCAAATTCATTTTATCCAAAAGCCTGTGCAAAACTACATTGTACCTAAGACACAATAACATGCCGAACAAATACTCATTCAGAAGTCAAACAACAAAAACCAGCGTTATATTTTCAAAACTTTCACAGGACTAGTTTCGATGATTTTACCGAACCACCATCCTCAGCTGCAAAACCACAAAAAAGCAGACATTTTTTTCAAATTTATTTTATCCAAAGTCTCAGTAATTGGAATATTCATTTTTTCCTTCTCTCTTTGTTTTAGCTTATGAAAATTTAATGGTAGTATCTAATTTTGCTGCATGAGCAGATATATATATATATATATATATATGTAAATAAATAAATAAAAAGGAAAAAGGAAAGGGAAAACGAAAAGGAAGAAAAAAGTTGTAAATTTTATATGGAGTATTCATATTTTTGCATTAGTAATTATGATTAAGAACCTTTTCTTTTATATGTTTTTTTTTTTTTTTTTAAATATAACCCTAAGCCATTTTTATTATTATTTTATGTAGAAAAATGAACTATTTTAATTTTAGGTGGTTTAGACCTCATGATTGTACCTGGTTTAGCTTTTACAAAAAGGGGGCATCGCCTTGGTGGTGGAAAAGGCTACTATGATGCTTATGTTCAGAACTGCTCTCATGACCCCCACGGAAGACCTTATACTATAGGATTGGCATTTAGAGAACAAATACTTCACAGCATTCCAGTTGATGTCCATGATTTTATGGTTGATGAAGTTATGTATCCTGATGATTAAATAATTTTTTTTTATGTGCATATCCTTTGACAAATAAAACATATCTGTTTTTAAAATTAGATATATTTAAATCAAATTTTATATGAAATGTTTTTACTAGAAGAACAAATTAAGTAAAATTTTATTAGAAAACTTATATGTATTCTTGTCAGATATTTTAATTTTGAAAAAATTGAGCTAATGCTTATAGAATGATCTAGGGAGCCCAGTATAAAATGGAATCTGCCCTTTGAAGCAGGATTTTGCGGCTGGAGTTTCACAAAGCTCAGATGTTTTGTGAAGTTCTGCAAAAAATAGCAATAAATAAGTTACATATAAGTGTATTGAATCATTTTGTAATTTCATATTAATATATTTAATAATTTACATGAATTTTCTAAATATTAATACTAGAATTTGATAATTTATCTTATACTTTTTCAAGTAATTGTCATTAAATGACTTATGAAGTACTCATGAATATGAATGAGAATTATTGTAGTGAGTTTTATCTATTTATCTTCTGCTTCCATATGTTATGCAAGATTTTTTTGGGAGGTGATAAACAAAAAACTTCTGTATCAAGTCTTTTCAACAAGCATTTTGATTCCCCCCCCCCCCCGTCTTGGTTTATAAACATACAAAAAATATGCTACTTTTTGCTTATTGCCATTCATTATGAAAAAATATGTTTTCAAAATAAACTGCATAAGAGGCAAAAACTATTAATTGTAATAAATACTGGTTTTCATATAGGGCTTGATTGAGATTTGAATATCGTTTCATGAGTTACACTAGCTTAGAAAGATTGAGAAATGCTACCATTCTTGATACAGGGCTTTAATCCTTTCTTTCCTTTTTTTTTTTTTTTTTTTTTTTTTTTTTTTTTTTAATTTGGCAGTTGGGAATTTTATAGCAGTGATCTCAAACTGGCAGCCTGCAAAGACATTTCCGTTATTATTTAATGCAAGTATGATGTTGCAGAGATTTCAGGAGTCTACTTATTTGAAATCCAAGTTTACATTATTTTCATTTCCGTTAAAATCAAACATGAATAATGCACCACAAAATCTATAAATAGAGATAATCAAATTGTAGAGGGATATAAATCTTTATTTACAGATTTTTAGGTACAGATTTTATTAACTTTGTTGGTACTTTACAAAGAATAAATAAGCTCAGTAACGAATTCTTGTACTAAAAATAATTGCTTAATTTGGGGATTTACCTCTGTGTAAACAGATTTTTTTTTCACAGTAGAAAACTAGTGAGAAAGAACCAGTTGACCAGTGAACATCTGTGATGAAGGTAATTTGTAGTAATTTTTCACCAAGGTTACACACTTTATCAGAATCGTAACACTGTCAAGTATCAAGCTTTAGTAAGAAATAAAGACGTTTATAATCACTTACAAACATGCATATTTTTATTTGTGTGTCGAAGGAAAATTTAATAAATAAGAAAAAGAACGAGTTGTTATTATCTAAAGTTTTGTTCCACTTGGTATATTTTCTCTTTTAATCTTTTTCTAATTTATTTTAGTTGTTTATTTTTAGTTTAAATTAAAGTAAGTTTTTTGCATGTTATAATTATTTGGGAGAAATGTCAAGCTAAGAATTTAAGATGTAGCTATCAGTATAGTTTAATTGCAAAATGTAACCAACAAAAATGTACAAGTAGGTACCAAACTTTAGATTTGGATTAGAAAAAGTAAGTATAAATTTGTTAATAATTTTTTTTTAAGAAAGATTATGGTCTGTCAGCAGGTTTTAGGTTAAACATTTGGCCCACATGCAAATTTGAGTTTGAGACCAATGTTTTATAGTTTCTTCAGTAACTTTCAATTTTGCCAAAATTTGCAGTTTATTGTTAAATATTTTCTTTATAGTAACACTATAAGAAGACATCTGGTAGAATATATTTTTAAATAGCGTTATATTCCAAAATATAGCAGGTCCAGAATATGAATGCATTCGTGTTCAAAATTATGAGTGCTATCACAACATAATGATAATACTAGATGTTTCAACTATTTGAATGTTGGAGCATTTATTTAAACAAGATGTAGTGGTGTTTATATATATTTAACACAGATCAGTAGGTTACATTTTATATGGACCACACTTCAGTTTGAAATTTTCAGTCTCTTAATGTATTTTCATTGCCTTTTCAAAATGTGAAAAATTCTAGATTTTCCCTAATAGACCAGGAATTAAATATTGTAAATGGGAACCAAAAGTGATTAGAAGGCTGAGAATTCGAACATTGGCCAGATAAATATTGGTAATAAAGTAGATAAATGTGTGTATATGCTGCTAAACTACACAAAATTCTAAGAGAGACCAGGGCTTAATTTCTAAAATCAGAAGTGCTGGATCCCTCTAGAAGGCCATCAGAAAGAAGGGGGTGAATAAATTAACTGAAAAAACTAATAATTAAAATAATTAAATTAAAATTTGATAAGTGTAAAGATGTAAATGAAAAATTAATAAGTTTTTAAATTAATGATAAATAGTTAAAGAAAAGAAATAAAATATCGGAGCTAGTCTTATTTGGGGCTGCAATTGGACTTAAATTTCATACAAAAACTATGAAATAGGCAAATAGCTCAGTTGGCGTGTGGCTGAATTTAGACCTTAAATATTCACTAAAACATACTGTTTCAATGGAGTGGGGAACTATTATTTTTCCAGCATACCAATGGAAAGCAATTAAAGCGTCACTAATGAAAATGGAGAGAATGCTAGAAAATATCTAAGAGTATGGAAAGAAATTTTATGGAGAATTGTAGCTTTGAAAAGAAAGAGAAAAGTGTCCAATGCTTTCTGATCACAATACCTTACCAATGTAATTCTATCTGTCAAGCAGAATTCCACTGGCCGAAACAATTTTCTCCAAATCCGATATAATGACATCACAAAAACAAATTTAAGGTCTGCTTTAAGTGACAATATTTTTACCCCATATTTCGTTACATAGTTCAAGTCTGCAGGAGCTTTGCAGTGAGAGGTTACCAGCACTGGATGTGGAAGACCAAGATAATCACAGTTAATACTTTTGGGAGCAAAATATTCCTTCAATAAACTGCTTTCATAAATTTATTGCATTACCTGGAGAATAAGCCTTTGAAATATGGATGGCGGCTTTTCTTTCCTTGAAAGTCTTAATCTTCATCAAATATTTCCCAGAGAAAGATAGACATGAATTCGGAAGTTATAATTGATTTTAAAGGTATATATATTTTTTTTAAATAAAATGTGTCCTATTGAAACAGTGTTTCCCTTACATAAAAGAAGTACTGGAGCCTTTTTACTTAGGGATCTATTACGTTCCATTTAAAATTACGATTTACATCAGAAACTGAGAAGTACTGGAGCTGGGTTCCAGTGGGCTCCGGTGCAGTTTAAACTCTGAGAGAGACTGAAGATTGTGCACTAAAATAGCTAGAAGTGCTACCTATAATTTCAAAAGATGTTATAAAATATAAAATTCAGCTCTTTTGCTGGATCTTGGTAATTTCTAAAGCTTTCTTATTTCAAAATTCAAATTCTTTTTCATCGTTCCCACCCTCAAAAAAGAGGAGGGCACCCTCGAAATATGTGGACTAGGACTTAGCTGTATACAAAAATGGAACAGTGGCCCATCTAGGTATTCCCCCTTCCCCCCAAAAAGAAGGAAAATTTAGTTGTGGTTTTTTTTTTTTTTTTTTTTTTTTTTTTTTACCTCTTGTAGGTCAAATATGAATTTACTGTAATGCATGTTTGGTATATGGAAGGAATTTTTATTTAATTTCTCAAAGATTAAGCTGCTAAATTGTTTTCCTCTTTAAAACAAAATGCAAAACACTATTTAAAACAAAATTTAGACATTTGAAATTTTATTTTATTTGTATGGGCCAAAAGGCTAATAAAATGTAACTGACAGCAGTTAAACTCTATTGTAAAATAAAAACTCCTTCAGAAGAAGACTGGTATATCATACACACATTCATCTTGTCTATTTGGGGGAAATAAGCACTCCTTATGTTTAAGCCTTGCTTTTATGAAGTAACTAAACGGCCTTTGTACAGCATGTAGTTGCTTTTAATTAATATTTGTGTACTCATATCTCTGTATATTATAGTTTAATCTATAATATGCACAGATTTTTATCTGTGTATATTATAGATTATATATTATTGGTGTATAATATGCTCAGATTTTTATCTGTGTATATTTTATAGGCAGTGTTACTTGTTTGCATTCATTTAGAATTTTTTTTTAATATGTGCTATATTATGAAACCTTTTCTTATTATCAAGTTCAAATGAAATATTGAAAACACATACATAATTAAAATTGACTTGAGCTTTAAGGAAAAAAATCTGAATTCTTCTGTAGTTTTTTTCTAATCTTTGCTACGCTTAGTTGCGTTTCCATCCAGTCAGGAATAAAATAATTTTGCATTATATTATTATGCAGGCTTCTTCAGTAATTATTGGGCTAAAAATACATTAATAATGACCTTTTACAAAAATAACTAAGATGAAAAGATCTGTGTATGTGTGATTTGGATTATGTACTCACCAAATCATAATTTTTTACCTAAATAAAACTGTGCTGACTTTTTTTATGCTTTTGTTTTCATAACCCCTTTATTTTGTATAATTTTCCAAGAAACTGAGAAGGAATAAACTGAAATATTAGGAAAAAGTGAAATTTTTCAGCCTGACCAAATATATTAATAAAAGTGAAATTACAAGGAAAATGTTTAATTTGTGCAGTATCAGCAAAATGAATTGAAATAGTAAAATGTTTTTTATAAAAAAATTTTAATGTCTTCATGAAACAATTACAAAAATACATACATAAAATGAATTTTAAAAAAAATTTTTGTGGCCAAGATTACAATAATTATTGTTCTTGAATTTAATCTTCTCTTTTATAAATTCAGAAATTTGGCTAAGGATTTATTTAATCAAGTCTTCTGCCCTGAAAAGAGTTTGCTTGAATCAAACTTTATTTGTCTCTCATTTTTTTATTATTATTATTTTTCTCCTTAAAATATTTGTTACATTTTTTGTGCTTTTTTTAAATTTGCTTTATTTCTTAATTATAAGACTTTATTACTACTACATTTTAATTTAATTTTGTGTTTGTATTTTTATTATTAGTTAATTTTTCTTATTGTTTCATGAGGATGTTAAATAAGTGTGTATAAAAATTTTATTAATACACAATATATTTGTATATGTTATATATGTGTGTATATATTGTGTTCAGTATAGTGTTTTCTTAAGCTACTAAATTAGTTTAAAGGAATATACATGACACATAGATTAGATTTTTTTTTGTTCAGTAATTAGTGAAAGTACATGGTCTTGCTATGAGTAATAATAGTTTAGTTTAATTTTCATTTAAAAGAAATATGTTATAATTTAGTTTTGTCAAAGGTAAGAAGATATCTAGTTTAATTTTAATACAGCTAAAATAAAAACAGATTGCATATTTAGTTTTATACTTAATGTAGGCAAAGACGTATTTCTTTGTTGTATTTAAGTTGAAGTAGGTTGTGCATTAAGGCAAATAAAAATTTATTTACCTGCTTAATTTAATTTTAAAGAATGTTTTTCTGTTTGATAGGAATTTTGTATTATATCTGTTGAAATAGAATGTGAGGAGTAAAGTCGAACACACTGAAAGCAAGGGTGGGGACTTCACTTTTATAGTAATCATTTCAGTAAATAATCACTTTCTAATCACTTCAATAAATATATATTTATTTGGCTTACAGTGAAAAGACAACCAGCTTTCCAATCTTTTTTTAATTTCTAGATAGACTGTAATGCCCTAGTTAATAAGGTTGTATTTGGAATTTTACTGTATTTGAATTATGTTACATAGTGTAAGCTTGGTAGCCTTTTATGTTTATTATAGAAGAATTGGAATTAACATGTAGTGAAGTTCCCTATTATAATAAAATTACTCTATGATGTGCATTTTTATTGACATTAAAAAATAATAATAATAAAGTTAGGAATGGTAAATCAATTTTTGGCTACATTCAGCTATTATTTTTTCATGTTTCTAATGAGAACTTATCACATGAAATTTTAAACCACAAAAAATTATTAATCATTTTAATAAGTTTTTGTTTCTTGTAATCATACACTGTAATGAATTTGAACTTGTTCAGTTAAAAAGAACTTACTCATTTAAACATGTTTATTGCTACATAAGTTTTCAAGACTACATACTTATTTTTTACTTTTGTGTTACTATATCCCTATGTGTTTATTTTTTACACAATGTATCTATCTAATTTGTTATTAGCACATTTAAACTTCATATGCATTAGAATGATAAAGCATTATGTGGTACATTTATGTAACTTTATCTCTTCTAGCTGTGCTATATGACTCTATCTTGAATTTAAATGTTGACTCATTATGATGAGGAAAGAATATTGCTTAGGTTTTTGTTATTTTGTTATTGGTACCATGCTGAAATAAATTTACTGTTTCATTCTTGATATCTAGTAATTATACTGCAATAATATTATGGTTAAAAGCTATTTGTGACTAAAAAAACTATTTCTAAGCTGCTTGTGATATTAATAGCATTTTTTTAAAATTTATTGTTGGTGTTTTAATTTAACAAAACTCTTCAAAAAGTACTGTGTAATTCATGCAACTTTTGTAGATAATTTTGTTCTCATCTAAAGATATTTTCATAAAAAATTAAAATAAAGATATTTGAATAATTACAGCAATAAGACCATTTATATTTTCTTTTTCATTTCTAGAACCTAAAATGGAATTAATCCCTTTTCATTATGACATAGTGCAAAATTGGGTACAGCTAAAAAAAAGTGTTTAAGGTATGAAAAAATGTTACACTTAGGTGTGAATTAAACCAAAGACATTACCTATGATACATTTGAAAGACGGCTGTTTTATATAAAAATCAAGAAAATTGTTCCCCATGTGTTGCTGTCGTAAAAGTATAAAAATATTTTTTTTAAATTCTTGTCATTTTATTATTTTAATTTTAACAGGTATTTCATTTAAAAGATAAAAGTAATAGTTATCAATGAAAAAAAAAAGCCTTATATTAAGAGAAGTTAACTGAATTAATATGAATACTTTAGCAAAGAGGGGATATATAGTTTTATGTTAGCCAGATATAAACTTATCTCATAGCACTCAAAAAGCATGGATAGAAATAAATTGCCAAGCATAGTTTTTCTTATCACCAAACAGGGTAATTCTTATATAAAAATTTCATTCAAAAACATCTTAATAAGAGTTTTATGCAATGCTTTTAAAATATTGTAATAAATTTAATATATAAAAAAAAATTACTATTGTTTCAACATTATGAAGGTCATTTTATTAGTAATTTTTTATTCGTCATCATAATCAGTATGTGTGAAGTAAAACCTCATTTTGCAATTTAGCACTTGTTCTCTGCAAAAATGCAAGTTTGAGATGTTTTTAATTTACACTCTCCAAAATTAGAGAAATCTATAATATAAAACATTCAGTATAGGTTTCTTCTTGACTTGTAAAATTAACAGATTTTCGAAGTGTATTTTCGTTTGAATGTGTTCATATAGAGAATGTGCTATATGAGATAACAGCACACTTCTAAATATGTTTTATAATGATGATCAGTTATACTCTTGTCGTACTGTTGTTATATTAGATTTAGTATTAATTTCCATCTATATGTGTATACTAGACAAATATATTTCAGAACATGAACATATCACTTTGTGTATTACCTAGACTCTACATATAATAAAATTTACTAGTATATTACCTAGTTTTATGTTGGTTGCAAATATTATCAGCGTTCATTATCTATTTTATAATGATTCATGTATATTTTGAACCATTTTAAATAAAATGTATTTCCCCCCTTATATGTGTATATGCACAGTGATCGATGTAGTATTATGTAAATACTGAAAATTTTATAATGAAAAGTTTTGTGATTGTATTAAAATTTGTATTGTGTGTTGCTCAATGTAAATTAATATTGTATGTAAAGAAATCAAAATAGTCTTGCCTTCAAAAGTCAGAGTTTGTTTGACAATTCTTATCTCATAGCTGCAGTTCCTAATCAAAAAAAATCCTTCCCTTCAAAAAGGGAGATTTAATGTGATTATTTTATTGTAATGGCAGAAATTCCTATTTTTTACCCATTTATTCTTAGTTCCAGCTGTACTGCACTGGCAACAAATAATTGCAGGTGTCTTTTAATTGTATTGTTTATTGAAAACTGTGATTTAAGGCCCATTTCCATTACTGTGTTGCCAATGTGATGCATATGCGTTTCTCCAATCAGCGAGCGAATTCACTTTGATTGACATCTGCAATCTGGTGTGCAATGATGGATGACAATCGGATGAAGTTCAATGATGTTTAATTTCTATCTGTATGTCTGTGGAAGCTCTGGGGTCATGTAGTAAAAAAGGAGCAATCAGGTGTTGTCACCAAAAATTAATGCTGACAGAAATAGCGATGAATGCTGAATCAGGGAAAGAATGCTTTGCTAAAAAATACTTATTTCTGAATTAACATTATAGTGAGAAATCTGCATGCTGAAAAAGACAGCAATCAACTGAATTTAGTTAAAAAAAAAAAAGAAAAGAAAGAAAAGAAAAAATAAGATAACTGCAACTACAGTACTAGTTTGCAGAGAGCAGTAGTGATTATTGTCAAGAAACTGCTATAGCCAATCAGATATGGCATTAAAAGATTTTTTTTAAACAGGTAAAGACTAATAATATTATTAGTAAATTAAATCTGATAGCCTTTTAAATATTCTACTGCATTAAAAGTATGTTAAATTTATATTTCTCTATTTATGAGTATATAATTTTGGCTAACATATATTTGTAAGCACATCTTTCACTTAAAATATATTTTTAGCACTCCATCTAACTTCAATTAGAACGCCACTTTAAAATTATGTTTTTGTAAGAAATTCCCTAGAAGCTGAAGAACAAATTCTGGTGAATTTTTTAGACAATAGCACACTGAAATAAGACCAAAAAGTTTAGTTTAAAAAATTCATTTTCTTGATGATGTATATAAGCCAAAATTGCTAATCACATGTGTGTGATAATAGCTAAGTGGTAAAGCTGACAGTGGCAGGACTTGACTTTTGGGATCGTGAGTTCGAATCCCATGCTTTTTCCCCACCCTGTTTGCAACTTTCTTAGCTCCGTGTTCCAATTTGATCTATATTTGTGTTTAATAATTTATTTGATTTGTATTATCATGTGCATTAAATATAATGTTTTATTTATGCTCTTATTTATTTAAATTTTCCCCACAAGAATTTATTTTGAAAGTTATAATATGAATTTAAATCGTACTTCCCTGTATATATATATATATATATTAATATTTTGTTTCACTTTTATATGGATATACATCCATATGCTGAGACATAGAGAAGAAAGCTTATCTTTATAACTACTTTCATAAAAAGAGATATGAATTTAAAATTTATAAATTAAAAATAGTATTTTATAAATTATGTGTAAAATATAACTGCACATAAAACGAGATTTGCAATAAATTATCCAGCTATGACAGATTTGATGCTAAAATTGTATATATTACTCATATTCTTCCCAAATTTGGTCATATTTTAAAAATATACAATCTCACATGGCAGTCATCGGTGTTACAAGCATAGCAAATTTTGTGTAAATATTGTGAATCTTTCTTTACATTTGCTCTGTATTTTTAAAGTACCAGCTATTTTTAAATGTTTTAAACTTTTTTATTTGTTTTGCAGTAACAATACATTTTAGTTTCCATTATATATTATTTCATTAATATTTAAGGCTTCTAGAAATGCAAAGAAATTTTCAAAAATTACTTCAGCTTCTATGCAATTAGAGATGTTCATAATATGCCTTACTTATTAAAAATTGCTAACGTGCTGTACTTTCACAGTTCATAAGCAAAGGGTCCGAATCCCGTAAGTTAAATACAGAGACATTTGTTGACAATAAATGCAATCGACCACTGAACTTCTGTACTTGTAAATCCAACGCAATAGTGTAAATGCTCGTCTGTCTGCGTATGCATTTCTCCCAATGACGCTATGTGTTCGCATCGCACTAATGGAAATGGGGCTTTATTCTTAAAACTGAAAAACTGTATTGAATGTTAGGAATTGATTTTCAATAGCTGTCATTCTGAATATTGTGAACATTCAGTTGACATTGTCTGTGATTATTGAATGTGATGTTTGCCTATCTTTTTTAATTAATACCTAACAAGATTATTTAAATTTAAGTTATAATGAGTTAGATGGGTAATGTTTGGCTAAATTCATACTAATATGTGTTGTACTAGTATATGTTAAACAAGATTTCATTGTGAAAGTATGTGTGTAGTCATTCTGATAATGTCTTCTTTTGTTACTTAAATGAAAGCTATGTTATGGAAGCCATGATTTCCTCACCTCCCCCAGGGCAAACAAATGAATATCTTCAAAACCTTTGATTTAGGTAGGATAGTTATGCTTTAGAAGGGAGAACAGTAAATCACCATTATTTACAGTATTTGACTTTTGATGATACTGAATTAATATTTAGATTATAATGTATTTTATTGTGTAATATGTTGATTGAAATATATTGATTATTTATGCTATTATTAAAATACTATATTAAAGCATTTAGAGAAGCCAGCTTGTATAATCAATGATAGATGTTTTGGGTCTGTTATAAATAGATTTCAATAATTCTGAGTTTGTTAAGAAGATATTCATTGTAATAAATTTATGTATCTATATTATTTAAAAAAAGTGAGTGATCCTCTTCCCCCCCCTGCCCAAGATTTAATTTAATTGTATTTTGGCCCCTAACTGTAGCACTACAGGCTGTGTGTTTTAATCTGCAAGACCAAGCTAGCTTTGATATGGAAATGGTTCATTTTCAACATATCATTTTCAGCAAATTTCAGTCTCATAAATGAAATAACATAGATCTGTAATTACCTAAAGAAAATGTTCAGTTTTTGTTTTTATTGCAAATAACAGTTTTAAATTACTGAAACTATTTTCATGAGTAAAAATTAAAAAAGAGCATAGTAAAAGTTAAATAGTTTTGTAGCATAAATTTTGCAAAAGTAAGAATTTTGCAAATTTTTTTTAATACAAGAGATTTTTTAAAAAAAATCTTCATATCCCCTCAACAACTACGAATTCAGTTTCAGAAATATTTTTCTAGAATACTCTCAACATCAGGCTAGTAACAAAATTATCCTTATAAGAAAGAAAAAATTTAATCGGTATTCCGTGTAGAATTTTATTATAGTTACTGAAAGGTGTTTTCGTTAGTTTCAAATTGCTCCTGTTCTTGAAGAATTACATCAATACTTTATTAGATTTTTGAATTATATCCAAAAGTATATAGAGCAGCTTTAGCAAGTTGGCGATAGTGAAAGGAGAGAGAGAATACTACATATCCAAGATGAAATCTATGTTTAGAATGAATCGATTTTAATTCATATTAAACCCTAATGGTAAATGATAAGTTTCATTTCCCAAATTTGAAATAATTTTTAGTTGACATAGTGTCTACATTATGAGCATAATGTAAGAATTGGATGACAGGGATTAATTTTGAAAATTTGTTTCTAATTTGTGGCATAATATTTTATTATACATATCTAAATCAGTTCTTAAATAAGTAATTTGTTTAAACTAAATATTTGCTAAAAAATATTCAATTAATTACACATGCATATTTGTATTAGAGTGCAGATATTTTTGAACAAATGTTAATATTGTGAAAAGATGCTAAAATTTGTGCAGTTGCTGTTAAATTTGAAATTTATGCTTCTAGCTATATCTTCTCTTCAAATGGGTAATTTGATTGCTGTCTAAATTGTGAAATGAAAACTAGTTTATAATCAAAAGTATTTTTTATATGTGTTATTTTTATACAAGTAGAAATGTTTATATATGATAATATTTTAAAAATTGTATAAATAAGATGTTTCTATTGCCATTTGGGATGAATGTAGTGAAATAAATTATTGAATTAAAATGTGTCTTGTATTTAATATAAATTTCAGGTTGTATAAATGCACAATTTGGGTTCTTTTCCATTAATAGCAACCTCTGAGAAAGGCATCAAGCATATAAGCTGCCAACTGGTAAAATCACTGAATGATTTGAATACCACCTGAGTTCAAATCCCAGTAAAGTTGACTGCATGGGATTTTACAGAATTTTCACCATGTTTAATGTGTTTCGTCAGTTTCCCTTGGAAAATACTTCCATAAGGCAGATAACGATTGAGTGCTTTTCCGTAATGTAATCAACATCCTGAAAGGCATCAGAGTGTTTTACCAAATGAATAGTCTGGTCATCACATTTTGTATTTGTTTTTGCTTTGTGCAGTGTTTTATATGCGCATAAAAATAATAAATTTAAAAGCCTATATTTATTTTCATCGTATTCTGTAGATTTTAACTACTTCGCTATTTTTATCTCAAAATTAAAAAAAAAAAATCTTTTGTATTTATTAAATGCCTTCCAGACAGGTTAGTAACCCTGATTGCCATATCGAAGGCCTGAGTTCGAATCCAGGAGAAGGCATGGATGTAAATAGTCCGTCCCATCATAGGAGGCAATGGTGGCCCACCTATTAGGTGCCTCCATAATAAAGGGACCTCTACTTTCGGCCTTAGTAGTGCCAACGTCGATGACGTCTTGTGCCTGCTGTTTTGGGGGGGGGGAGTTTATTAAATTTTATCTTCAGCAGATTTTATATATAAAAGTACATACACTGCTCAACCAAAACGCGATTAGTACCTGTAAACTGTGACAATGTTTAGAGATAGTACTAGGGCTGTGTAATCGGAGTCATGCAGATTTTGGTGTAAAAGGAGTCGGAGCTGGAGTCGCTAAAAACAGGTCGATTCTGCCACCAATTTTTGTTGGACAGTTTGAAATTAAAAGGAATTGAAAAAAAAAATAATGAAAAGCTGAGTTATTATTTTTATTTATGTACTATATACATCAATAAATAGTTATTTTCTATTTTATTGACATATTAATAAATAAATATAAGGGAGGAGGATGGATGTGATATTTGCCATTAGTGATTAAATTCATTCATTTAGTTACAAATCTCACTGGTAAATTTAAGTAAGCAGCACTAGCAGCAAGAACTCCCAAAATTGAAGCCATTCTTAGGAAAAAGAGCAATTATTGATCAAACAATGCGATAAGAAATCTTTCTACACCGTATATAGCCACAAAAAGCTGCAATCTGAGGAATTGACAGGACCTAGAATGGAAGAATGTGATGTTTGTTCTTTCTGAAATGGAGGGTTTATTGCCGAAGAAATCAAATCATTTCTTCAATGAAGAAAAGAGAAACTAGTTTGCTAGACAATGAGATCTTGCCGGGTTCAATATATATAGATCCCAAACACCGAATTTTCTTGGATGAGGAACAAATTAAAAAGGCAAAGAAAGCCATTTATGAACTTTCATTAAGAATGAAATTATTCTCAGAACAACTGGAGAATTCGAATCAGGACGGTCAAACTGCAGACATTTGCAATTGAGTCTATCATCCTCTTCCAAAGATAAATTTGATTTTGAGACATATTTTTTGGATAATATTGAAAAGGCTAAGGCAAAGCGAATGAAAATAAAGACCCAGGCGCATTTAGGTATAAAAATGAAAAAATACAAACAAGATTTCTGCATGGCCTTTCAAGAAATTGAGAAATATGATTGCCCTTGCAAGACACCTCTTTTAGAACTTATAAAAATCTATCCTGAAAACTTAAAAGAAGTAGCCCTAACAGTAAGAGCTCTTCCTCCTACTCAAGTTAGTGTGGAAAGACTTCTCTGAAGTTTATCAAATCGGATCTCTAGCCCCTCCAACAAAGGTCTTGCCGAAGCTATACTGTTTCTTAGAAATAACTAATGCTAGTTTTTCCATTTCCTAATAAATGTTAATTAATGTAAATAATTTGCTGTGACGTCAATTTTTTTCCTGCAGCATCTATTACTTCTTTTATATTAAAAAAATAAGCTGTAACTCATGTGTATATATATATATATGAGGGAGTCTAAAATTCCTCCAGGAGTCGGTCATTTTTCCTACCGACTCCACAGTACAGGATAGTACTAATTCAGTGACATAGATTTCATATAACAGTGTGAAAATATTTTTAATGGCCTGTTAAATGTATTGAGGCAGCATTTTATCGACTATATATGTATGTTAGAGAACAGGCTGCTAATTTTGAGTAACTTTGATAAAAGGCCAGATTATGGTGTTCCAAAAGGTAGAGTTGGGTATCTGAAACGGTATTCCCCTTCAGATGTTCGCTAGATATCACTGTTAGTATCTTTGAAAAATGGAAGAAAGACAATGAACCTCATGGTAGGCACTGAAGCATTGGACGTCTATGATTGATCAACAACTGTTCTGTTTGGTGAAGGCAAAGAAGCGGCTGCTGGCAGCTCATCTAACAGTTAACTACAACGCAGGTCTATGTACAATTCCCTATATATGAGCCCATGGTTCATCGGATTTTGCAATAGCTGTCTTTTTCGAGTACTGTTCTGTTATCGGGATCGGGTCTAGAAATGTATGGATGTATGTTTTCATGTATATGTGTATGTACATATGTATATGTTTGTGTACACATATCATCTATATGCACATATAACATACATATACTTCTGAATCCGGTCCTTATAGCGGAAGAGTACCCTTTTTCATGTACCTTTATTAGTCCAGCATCAACACTTCAACTGAAGTAGCCCTTGAAAACCGTGATTAGATCATGCAATATAGAAAAGAGTTGGCTGATTGGGCAAAGCATGATTTCTTTTACGGCCGCATCGAAGATAAGCGGTCCAACACGATACTTCTGTACAAAAAGATTCCGTTTCCACACAAGTGGTCGATTTTCATCATGTTTGAGGACTATTGAGAGTCCGGTCTCTCTCTAGATGAAGGCGTATCGAGAATCACTCTGTGTAATAAAATTTGATTCATCGGTTAAAGAGAGCACGGTGCCAATCCTGCTGTGTCCAAGAATGGTATACCTGTCTTCTCATCAGACAAAGGTTATATATATATATAAAGGATCTTTTAAACTTTTCAGATTAGATTATGTTTTCCTTTCCCTAAATTGTTTTTGCAAATTTCGGTAAATACTTGAATTTGTTTAATTGTGTTATTAATTTTGTTAATTCTATACACTTTATCTTTTAGGTTTCTATATTTATTTCACTTATGTATTGTTTAATTTATAAAAATAATACGAAATGAAACATGTAGTCATTTTCTGGATTGTCATCCTCATTTTTTTATTTCAGAGAAGTAAATCCTAGATATTAATAGGTGGTGTGGTGTGTGTGATTATGGCAAAGCCTCGAGGGCTATGCGCCTGAAGGGAGGGATGCCTTCGTGGAGGACTTTCTAAGAGAAACTGGCTCGAATACTCGTTACACATGAGGAAAACCACGAAAACGCCAATGCAGCCAGTCCGTTCGCGGGATTCGAACCTCGGACCGAACTACCAGTGTTTAGTGGCTTTACCGCTCGGCAGCTGGTTGGCAGGTATTAATAGGACTGAATGCTGTATGTGTTTGTTTTGGTATCAAAAAAGAAATATGTTTATATAATAACTTAAATATCACATTTCATTTAGCATATTCAGTTTAACTGTTCTATGAATAAAAAAAATTAGAGTTATCAGTTTATTTGGGGGAAAATATATTCAGTTTAACCATTCTAAATGACTTATAAAAAAAAAAAAAAATTAGAGTTAACGTCATTTGACTGTCGTCGTACTTTCTGTGAACACATGGAAAAAAGGGTGGATGTTTATTTAATATGATGACCTGTGTATACAATATTGCCCACAGACATAATGATTACATTCGTAGAATACTAGCAAATATATTTTGCACATTTTGCAGGTAAATTTATATAATTAGAATGCAGAAGTCAAAATTAGTACTAAATTTTAAACACTTACATTCAACAAAATCTTAGTAAATATGGATCTTAATTTTATAAATGAAGTTTTGTATGAAATATATCATGGTGCACTGTATATAAAGGAATGTACAATTTTAAAACTATAATAAATAAAATATTTGCTTAAGTTACATTATTCATTCATAATACAAATCATAACAAATTATAAGTACAGATAGAAAATGAAATTTTATATTTTACAAGAATTTTAGCATATCTGTTTTTTAAACGTTTCTGTATTCTTAAATCATACATTTCCTAAATTTTGATTGCATTTAAATGCATGCTGTGCATTACTTTGTTTTCAAATAGTATGAAAGAAAAAAGCCTTAATAATTAGAAAATTAATATTGCTGAAGGAACTGCTTTACTATCTTTGCAAAATTACTGTAACTAAATTATCCAGAACTGATAGCCTTAAGTATAAAAATACAACTTAATTTGCTCGCCAAATGAATTGTGGACTTCTAATATGTTGCCTTCTGTACTCTGCGGTGTGTGTTAGTCTTCTTATTGCTTATATGTACCCCTGTATTAATGATATTGTATTTCTGGCATGTACCATATTAACAATACAATAGGCTCAAATTCTAAGTAACTTGACAAAGCCCATTAGCTGAACACTGGTCGTTTGACTTCAATTCCTGGAGAAAAGGCTGGTTGTATGGCCATTTTTCCATGTGTAACACGAGTTAGTTAATGCAGTGAGCTAGATACACATAATTTAAAACTATTTAAGCGTATGTTTATATGCATCTGTCACAATTCACAACAATATTTAAAACCGTTGGCATTTAAATACACCTGAATAAAATGCATAGAAATTTCTATATATATTAATGAAAATTAATTTAAGTAACCCGAAAATTCAAAATGCCTTGCATCAAATCAAAAAACACTATAAGTTTCTATACCTATGAAATAATACATTTTGCTGATTATTTTTTATTTTGCTGCATATTGGTGCATAATGCAATCGCGCAGTGCGTACCAACCATTATACTACATAAATTTAATTATATTTGAGA